CATTTGGCAACCAGCATGTATTTACAAAGGTTGCCACATCCTGAGATCACGTGAATGCTAATTGCGATCATCCCAGCTGGCTTCCGTCAAGCAAAGTCAAAGGGGAAAGCTGGATTCGCTTAAGGACCACCTGACTTACTTAACACCCGTGGCAGAAAAAATGGTTGTAAAACTGGGCGAGTCTCACTTAACAACTGCCTTGCTTTGCAACAGAAATTCTGGTCCCAATTTTGGCCTTAAATCGAAGACTTCCCATTTAGAGAATTTTTTTTTAATTGTTTCAAAATGAAGGAGAAACCACCACCCAAAACAGATCTGTAAGACCAAACTGCCAATACTAATAAAGATAACGACTCCTTTATAATGATAATAGTAATAATTATTTTGCCACCTCGAGTTATACTTTGAGTTATAAAATAATAAAGGTAGGATAAAACTCAAATAAATTTTAGGAAGAGATATAAAATGGAGCACTCTGTATCTTTCTGTTGCGATGCTTCTCCCTGGTTGCCTGTCTATATGCCAGGCTGTTCTTATCACAGCCAGCCCAAAGAACCTTTGCTCCTTTATAGAAAATTAAACCTCGTTGTAACTGAAATAGGAACCGCTCGCCTGCATTATGCAACTACAGAAATATGCAACCTTTGACTTCAAAAGACTCGAAATAGAATGGAGACTCAAACAGGTGAAATCAAATATCACAATGCATTCCTGCCCTCCTTTTTGTGAGAGTGATATTTTGCTACTCATCTTGGCTCAGTTTAAGCATAATAAAATTTTCCTCTGGAAAAATGATTCAATCCAATTAACTGAATTACAAGATTTTTTTTCCACAAAACTTTTTTTTAAAGAAAATGGCACTATACTTATCTTTTATTTCATTCATGTTGCTTCTAATGAGAAGAAGAACTAGGGGTGACATGGTAGCAGCGTCCTAATATCTCAGGGGCTGCCCCAAAGAAGACGGAGTCAAGCTATTCCCCAAAGCACCTGAGGGCAGGACAAGAAGCAATGGGTGGAAACTAATCAAAGAGAGAAGCAACTTAGAACTAAAGAGAAATTTCGTGAGAGTGAGAACAATTAATCAGTGGAATAACTTGCCTTCGAAAGATGTGGGTGCTCCATCACTGGAGATTTGTAAGAAGAGACTGGACAGCCTTTTGTCCAGAATAGTATGGGGTTCTCTGTTTGGGGAGTGGGGTGGACTAGAAGACCCCCAAGGTCCCTCTCAACTCTGATATTCTACGTTCTATAATATTCTATAATATTATATTCTATAATAAAATTTGCAGACAACACCACATTGATGGGACTCATATCAGAAGAAGACGAAACAGCCTACAGGTCAGGGGTTCTCAGGCTGGTCTTGTGGTGCAAGAGTCATAACCTCGCCCTGAACATCAAAAAGACCAAAGAATTGATTATAGACTTCAGACGATGCAAAGCAGAGCCTCTCCCACTATATATCAATGGAGATTGTGTGGAAAGAGTTCATAGTTTTAAATTTCTAGGAACTCATATTTCTGACAGCCTTACTTGGTCAGTCCACACTACAGCCACTGCAAAGAAGGCCCAACAGTGCCTGCACTTTCTGAGGCTGCTGAAAAAGGGTGGTCTGGGTGAGAAGTGGCTGGTTACTTTTTTTCCGTTCTACCATCGAGAGTATTTTGGCATATTGTGTAACGGTGTGGTATGCTGGATGCTCTGTAGTGGATAAGAAGATGCTCCAGAGAGTCATAAACACAGCACAAAAAATCATTGGTTGCTCTCTTTCTTCTTTGGAAGAGATTGCGAAGACCAGATTCCTCTCTAGAGCACAAAAAAATCTCCACAGACCGTTCTGATCCTGGTCATTCATATTTCGAATTGTTGCCATCAGGGAGATGTTACAGGGGTCTTAAAATGAGGACTAATAGATTGAGAAACAGTTTCTTTTCCAAGGCAATAATTGTCTTGAATCAAACAGTACGCTTGTGATTTAGTTCTATGTATAAAGTGGCATTTTTAAACTATCTAACTTAATATATGTTTTAAATAGGTTTTAGATTAAGTTTTTAATTATTATTATTATTACTTTAATTATTTTACTTTTTAAATACTGTGTAGTGTGATTGTGATGTGGTGTTTGGGGCACTATGCTGGAGTAGCTTTCAAATTTCATTGTATTTTGAATGCAATGACAATAAAGGTATTCTATTCTATTCTATTCTATTCTATTCTATTCTATTCTATATTCTCTTCTAATGCAGGGCCTTGTTCTGAGTTCAAATTCCTAGCAGGCTACGAAAGATGGTTTTGTACAACCTTCTCATTTTGCTCAGTGCAAACTACCTTACAAGGCTGTTGTGAAGATAAATGCTACCCAAGGGAAAGAAGTATGCATACTGGCATTATGCAATTTGGCAGAGAATCCTGATAAAAATGGGGAATAATATATGGAAGGTGCAGCTACGTGGAAATATTCCGGAGGTTGAGTTTGTTTTCACTGCAAACAGACACAGAATCTTCTGTCCCATCTCAGGTTGGGTTGGTGACCCTCCTTAAACGGTTCTTTTCCCTTCCAGTTATTCCTCCCTTCTAAGTTGTCTGCCATCATTTGTGTGTTTTGTAATGGGGAGTCTTCAACAAAGCACTCTTTTCATAGTTTTCTTTCTCAAGCAAAGCCATCTGTAATAAAATATTTTTTTTTAAAAAAAAAACGGATTTCTGGGCTCACCAAATAGAATTTTGGCAGGAAGAAAGATTACGCCCATGAACAAATATTGAGGGAAATTAACCTTAGAACAAAATCTGCTTTCTTTTCAAAACGGTAAAACTCCAGTGATAGATTTCCTCCCAAAATGCTAAAATCCAGCAATTTTGCTTCATAGCCTAACAATATGGCCAAGAAACAAGCAACGTCCTTCACATCTCTTTGGGCTGGTGGTGACCATATGACCTTTAAGCTAAATTTCACCAGAAAATTGGTAGATATCTAATTCTGGATTCTACTCAAAAGGTTGGTACCCTGACTGTTGTCCCTGTCAATCTCGAAACCTTTGGTCGGGAATAAATCTTATCACCCTTCATTCAGTTTCTCAGGTAGATGGGGTAGAAAACTCACAGGTGCAGCCCAACTAGATTATAATATTCATTGCAGGCCACAATGAACCCACCAACACCACAGTTGCTGGCTGTAGAAAGTAAAGAAGATAACCTTGGTAGAAATATACCAGAATGGTTACGAAATTGGGTGCAAAATTGTAATTAACAGCCTGGTGAACCCATAATGGAATATTGCATATTCTTCCATATTGGAAGAACTATCCACCTGGGTTCAGTTCCAAGAAGGGAGAAAGACACTGGAAATATGGAGGCTGGTTGGAAAGATGGAGTAAGGGAGGGAAATCTGTATGCAAAATTCCTATTGGAATTAAAAACCTCTAGCAACAGGAAATGGAAAATGGTGGGTACTCTTTACAAGAGACGCAGATGGGTAAGAAAAATTGTGACAAAGCAAAAGTTTTGTTTCAGTTAAGAATTATTTAAATCTGGTTAGAAATTCTCAGTGTTTTAAAAAATCTATCTACTATCTGTCTGTCTGTCTGTCTGTCTGTCTGTCTATTTATCTATTTATCTATTTATCTATCTATCTATCTATCTATCTATCTATCTATCTATCTATCTATCTATCCATCCATCCATCCATCCATCCATCCATCCATATCTGTCATCTGTCTGTCTGTCTGTCTGTCTGTCTGTCTGTCTGTCTCTATCTATCTATCTATCTATCTATCTATCTATCTATCTATCTATCTCTATTTAGTCTGTCTCTCCCTCCCTCTCCCCCCTCTCTCATCTATCTATCTATCTATCTATCTATCTATCTATCTATCTATCTATCTATCTATCTATCTATCTATCTATCTTTAATCTCTCTCTCTCTCATATCTCTCTCTCTATCTCTCTATCTATCTATCTCTCTATCTATCTATCTATCTATCTATCATCTATCAATCTATCATCTACTATCTATCAACTAACTATGTATTTATTACCTGTTGGTCTGTTTTCTTGGCATGTGTATATGTGTGAGCATCTGTCTTAAAGTTGCAATGCTTCTTTCTTTGTAATTTTATTAATTTAACCCCAAGTACATTGGATTATTTACCCTACTTTGCAGTTCAGAAAGCCAGTATTAACCAAATGCATTTCTAGCCGCTAAATGAATCATTATTCAATTACAGAGTCCTAGTTATTGATTGCTGATGAAACGGTCTTACAGACAGTGGAATAATCTATTCCCCAAAAAGTTTTTATTACAAATTCACGTTTGGAATGTGCGATGCTTTCCTAAGGGGCCAGAGAGAAATATTTCCACTCAATATAGGGTTAATTTGATTAGTTATTGAAGAACCGGCCCAGGCTCTTTTCCTTAACTTAAACTTGAATTAATCTTGAGAGACAGATGAAAACATGATTTGATTTTTCCAAGGGATTGGATTATGTCCATCGCATCTCTCAAAAATTTGACTGTGGGTCCTTTGTTGCATTTGTTCAGTAACTGGTCTCAAATTGACCTTACTCACCTTACAAACTCACCTTACAGGAAGATGGGAATCATAGAACATAAAACAAAACATAGAATAACAGAATAATAGAGTTGGAAAGGAATTTGGAGGTCTTCTAATCCAACCCACTATCAAACAGGAGTCCCCATACCATTTCAGGCAAGTGTCTTAAAAACTCAGCAGATGTCAGCATCTAAAAGATAAAGAGCTTATTGAAAGAAGCCAAGTATCTAGGTACCTCTATTCATAAGCAAAGCAAATACTGCAGGCAGAAATCCATTCAAGACAGGATATTCCCTGGAGCAAGGTGTGAGCAAAGGTAAGGCTAGTACTCAGCCACAAGACGAATTGCCCAATGCCACTACATTGCATCACCCTCAGAAACCAAACCTGAGACAAACATCTAAGATTTGTACTTTGCCTATAGAGCCAGCTATGACCCCTATATGGCCCCATGGGAGTCTGACAACAGCCAATAGAATACATGTTCTTGCACAGGAACAGGAAGCTCAAGGGCAAGGCCCAAGAGAAGGTATAAATAACTCTCGTTCTCAACTCCATGGGGTCAGCTGCTCAGAACCACCCATGTGCTTCTTCATCATTAAACCATCTTTCCAATCAGCCTCCATGTTTCCAGTGTCTTTCTCTCAGCTTGGAACTGAACCAGATGGATATTTCTTTCCACAGAGCATTCACAACAGAACATTCTGGAGGAAGGAAATGTTTCCGTAGTTCCAAGTTGCTTCTCTCCTTGATTAGTTTCCACCCGTTGCTTCTTGTCCTGCCTTCTGGTGCTTTGGAGAATAGCCTGACTCCCTCTTCTTTGGGACAGCCCCTGAGATATCGGAACACTGCTATCATGTCACCCCCTAGTCAGGGATGGGCTGCTACCAGTTCGCACCAGTTTGGGCAAATTGGGTGTTAATTTTACATCTGGTTCACTGAACCGGGAGTTGAAATGACTGGCTGACTCGAGGAAAGCCTCCAGAGCCTGGGGAGGCCAAAATGCCTCCCCCACACCATGGAGCAGGAGGCTGACTAGGCCACGCCCAACATGGCCACGCCCATCCAGCAACTGGGCAGAGAACCAGTTGCTAAATTTTTTTGAAGGCCCAAATTGCTAATCCTTTGCTGCCCTCTGCTGGACATGTGGATTTGGCAGCCTAAAGACAGTAGCCTTGAATGGATGAATTGTGGACCACTTACCCCAATATTTGTTCCAGCTACCAGAATTCAAAGCTGGCTCTGGATTGGTAACATTTTTGGCAAATGCTGTGTAACTGGCAAACCTTGGCTATTCCTGCCATGTAGCACAGCTATTTTTGTGGCAATTTCTCACCGACGTTGAAAAGCATCTTTCAACGATTCTGCAGTAACAAGGAACAGATCTTTTTAACAGGGAAAGTGAAAAATATTAATCTTCAGCCAAACTTTCACAGAATTGACACTTGTTTTAATTGCTTAATTGCCGCTATTGACGATCTTGTTATACAATAATCAAATGCTTATTTACCTTTTAAAGCTTGCCCGGAGCTTTCCATCCAGCCTGAGCTCGTTATTTACAAAGCTGTTAAATGCCTATTGATTAACTTCCAAAGAAAGAAACTTGAAAAAAAATAAACTCAAAATACCCACCGGGCAATGTCCAGACAATGTCCAGACTAAATCGTAGTTAATCTGACAAGTTGCTTTCATTGAGTATTTCAAGCATGGCTGCTGTCAATCTCGAGTCATTGTTTGGCTCGGTTGTTTGATTTTGTGGCTTACCACATTGTGTAAACTCTGCCATTCGGGCTAGTTTATAGCTCGGTTTATTGCAAAGCCACACCAGCTTAAGTATATTCTGTGAATGTGGCCATTATAATTCCCAGTTGGCTGGGAATTATAAATAGATTTTAAACCGTAAAATACCGGGCACATTTTCTTCCTTGCCCTTATCCTTGGTCACATCCCTCACTTTCCCCTACCACCATACCACCACAGCCATCCGCCAGTCCAGAAAGGTTGGAAACATCTACTTTAGGGTATTGACTCTGCCTCACTAAGTGGCAGTTTGGGTTGATCTCAAAAACCTTCGTAGTCTTGAATCTGGTTCAGTGGTAGGATTCAACAATTTTACTACAGGTTCTGTGGGCGTGGCTTAGTGGGCGTGGCAGGGGAAGGTTACTGCAAAATCTCCATTCCCTCCCCACCCCACTAACCTGCTTTCCAGCTCCGTTCTCCGCGCACGGCAACAAAAGAAGACCCAGCTGATCAGCTGGGACTTGGGAGGTAGAGAATAGATGGGAGCAGGGCCAGTCACAGGTGGGATTTGTCAGTTCTCTGAACTACTCAAAATTTCTGCTACCGGTTCTGCAAAACTGGTCAGAATCTGCTGAATACCACCTCTAATCTGATTTACTTAGGAGAGACTACTAGGAGGGCTCAGGTTGGTAAGACAGATAGAGCAGTAGAAAGGGAAAACATTCAGAAAAAGAGAATAGGGCAAGCCGTTACTATGTCGCCAAGAAAACTAGAACATATTCATGAAGGATTTGGCCAAGGGAAGTACTAGTCCACCTAATAAAGCCTCTGTAGCAATAGCACTTAGACTTACGTATCGCTTCACAGTGTTTTACAGCCCTCTCTAAGCGGTTTACAGAGTCAGCCTCTTGTCCCCAAACAATCTGGGTCCTCATTTTACCCACCTCGGAAGGATGGAAGGCTGAGTCAACCTTGAGCCTGGTGAGATCTGAACGGCCAAATTGCAGGTAGCCGGCAGGCAGCAGAAGTAGCCTGCAATACTGCTCTCTAGCCACTGCGCCACCGTGGTTCATAAGGAGGTAAGTAACGTAAGTAAAACCGTTACTTGGAATACTGCAGCCAATTTTAGTCACCACATCTTTTTTTATAAGACGTAGAGACTCTGGAAAGAGTTCAGAAAAAAGCAACAAAGACGATTAAGTGTCTGGAGGCTAAAATATATAAAGAATGGTTGCAGGAATTGGGTTTGTCTAGTCTAGTGAAAAGAACAACTAGGAGCGACCTGTTAGCAGTATTCCAATATTTGAGGGGATGCCACAAAGAAGAGTGGGGTCAAACTGTTCTACAAAGCACCTGAAGGCCAGACCAGAAGCAATAGATGGAAATTAATCAAGGAGAGAAGCAACCTAGAACCAAGGAGAAATTTCTTGACAGGGAGAACAATTAAAATAATGGAACAGCTTGTCTTCAGAAGTTGTGGATGCTCCATCGATGCAGGTTTTAAGAAGAGATTGGACAGCCATTTGTCTGGAATGCTATAAGATCTTCTGTTTGAGAAGGGCGTTGTAGAAGACTTGCAAAATCCCTTCAAACTCATGTTATTTTGTATTCTGTAAATGCCAGGTCCAAAGCTGGCATGAAATTACAGAGACCAGCAGCACCACCTGGTGGCCGTTTGTAATGCCAATCTTAGAACAAAAAATTAAACTCACCCTTTCCTTAGGCATATAATACTTAAGCCAAAATGACTGCAAAACGGAAAACACGAAGCACTTCCCCGATTAGACTAACAACGAGGACAACAGGAAGAAAAGAAATAAAGCCAAGGAGGTAAGCAGAAAGTAATAACAGATCGAGATTACAATGCTAGGAAGAGGGAGGATCCTGAATGTTACTATTATTTTTCCAAGGAGGCCAAACCGATCAACCACTTTGCTTAAGCACAAAATAGCAGTGCAGTTTCAAAGCAGCATTTAAAGGCAGATTCTGAAGATGGAGACAAGGTTGGACCAGTTTGGGCAACTGGGTGGACTCAACAGCTTCATGGATTTGTAACTGGCTGACGAACTGTACTCAACAAGTAGCCCTTAATGGTACTGCATCTACATGAAGGCAAGTAAGCAGTGGGGTACCACAAGGTTCTGTCTTAGGCCCAGGACTCTTCAGTATCTTCATAAATGACTTAGATGTGGGAACAGAAGGAGAAATCATCCATTTTTCAGATGATACTAAACTGGCAGGAATAGCCAACACCCTAGAAGACAAGCTCACGATCCAAAAAGATCTTGACAGACTTGAACACTGGGCTCTATCCAACAAAATGAAATTCAACATAGAGAAAAGTAAAGTCTTACACTCAGGCAAGGAAAACCCAAAGTACAAATAAAGATTAAGTGAAACTTGGCTTAACAGCAGTAACTGTGAGAGGGATCTTGGGAGTCTTAGTGGACAACCAGTTAAATATGAACCAACAGTGTGTGGTGGTAGCCAAAAAAGCCAATGCAATCCTAAATTGCATTAACAGAGGGATTGAATCAAGATCAAGGGAGATGCTAATACCACTCTATAAAGCCTTAGTAAGGCCACACCTAGAATGATAGATCCAGTTTTGGTCACCCCATTATAAAAAAAGAGGTTGAGACTCTAGAAAGAGTGCAGAGAAGAGCAACCAGGATGATTAGAGGACTGGAGGATAAAATATACAAAGAAGGGTTGCAGAAATTGGGTATGTCTCTAGTTTAATAAAAGAAGGACTAGGGGTGACATGATAGCAGTGTTCCAAAATCTAAGGGGCTGCCCCAAAGAAGAGTGGGTCAAGCTATTCTCCAAAGTACCTGAAGGCAGGACAAGAAGCAATGGGTGGAAACTAATCAAGGAGAGAAGCAACCTAGAACTAAGGAGAAATTTCCTGACAGTTAGAACAATTAATCAGTGGAACAACTTGCCTCCAGAAGTTGAGAATGCCCCAACACTGGAAGTTTTTAAGAAGAGATTGAATAACCATTTGTCTGACATGATATAGAGTTTCTAGCTTGAGCAAGGGGTTGGACTAGAAGACCTCCAAGGTCCCTTCCAACTCTGTTATTTTGTTATGACTAGAGGTAGTCCTCAACTTAGAACCATTCATTTAGTGACCATTTGAAGTTATAACAGCACTGAAAAAATTGACCTATGGCCCTTCTTTTCCGCCTTTAACAACCACTGAAGCATCCCTATAGTCATATGATCAAAATTTGGCTGCTTGGCAACTGGCTCATGTTTATGATGTGTAGGAAGTTAGCACCCACCCCTCTCTTAGAAAAATGAAATATCCTAGGAAATATTTAAAAGGCAGAATATTTCCCCTAAAAAGAGTAGAAACTCAGAAGCAGAAACTCACCTCAGAAGCAGAAGTTCACCGCCACCTTTGTTAATGGGTGGGCCATTAAGGCCTGGGCCAGAGGATTTTACATAACAAAGATCTCCAGGTAGAGCTATAGAAATTGCCTAAAGCCCTTTCATTACATCATCATCCAGCAAGGCTCAACCAAGCTGGAACTCAAGTGAAGCCATGTGGTCCAGACAAAGCCTACAAAGTTAGCTAAGACCCTCCCACCCCTGGGAGTCTGACAGCCAATGGGATACATTTCTTATACAGGAACAGGAAACCCTAAGGTGGGGCCCAACAGAGAGTATATAAACGTCACTCAGCATCTTGGCCCTTCCTTCTCTTTTCCTTCACCTTGAAACATGTGCTCATCTTTTTTCACTTTGGAGCTCCAAGCCAGGTGGTCCTGTCCACCATTAAACCATCTTTCCAAATAGCCTCCGTGTTTCCAGTGTCTTTTTCCCCACTTGGAACTGA